CATCTATGTAGGTTGCTGATGGACAAAATTGTTCTATATTGTAGATATATGTCTGTGTGTTATGCATAACCCAAATGAACACCATGATGGAAGTGCAATAGTCAAAGACAAAATAATATGGCTAGATTCGGAAACTTCTATTTGATGTTTTTGACAAGGTCACTGGATTTGTGTCAGGTTTGGAATCGGTTGTGGAATCTATAACCCAGATCAGTCTGGAATCAATCAGGTTTCTATAGAAACAACCAGAAATAGACTAGGGTAAGTTGACATAAATACAATTTATCATAATCAACTTCAGTTGACTTCGTTGGTTTATGACTGGTCAAAGTATTGGGATTGGCCAGAATGGTTTGTGATCAATCTATTTTGGCCAGTCCAAATAATTCCCCTTGAGATCAAGCGTTTCAGATCAGACCAAGTTGATAGTAACTGGATGAGGGATTGATCGATCCCCAAAACCAAGTTCTCAAAGTCCAAGGATTTTACATATCCTACAAACATCTTGTGTTGTGATGTTTCTTTTTTTTTTAACAGCTTTCTACAAGAGAGAGATGAAAAACAATAGGAGAAGTTGCAATTTTGTACAAGGAAGATGAAAGATAGGGATTAGGCTTTAGTTATGGCCACCTCACATAAGATTGACTAACAATAATTTTACCCTAAAAGGCCATTTGCCCTTTTGCCAATTTACATCTCTACTTAATGCCAACATGCTGTATTCTGCTAGGCATAATATATATGTACACACAGATATATATAGCATCCTTATCATCATTTGGGTCATGAAAGTGATGCTTTAGTTATGTAATATTTTCAATTACTACATAAAGATCCACCCTACTTGTGAGTATCATATTAAAAGGATTAAAGATCAAACTCTCTGTATCTTGTCCACATACCTTGCTCTCCATTTGTTGCCATAGCATATAAGTAACAGTTACGAGAATTTTCATGCAGGGACGCTTTGATATCATCTCTCTTTCAGGTTCCTTCCTGCTCACAGAAGAGGGTAGCACTCGTAGTAGAAGCGGTGGATTGAGTGTCGCAATTGCAGGATCTGATGGCCGAATTCTTGGTGGTGGGGTTGCCGGAATGCTTGTGGCAGCAACACCTGTGCAGGTCTAAATCAAACCTCTTTGATGCATCCAATCACTGTCCTTTTTAGATCATTTTTCTGACATAGTGGAGTTCCGTTCAAATTGCAGGTTGTGGTGGCAAGCTTCATCACCGAAAAGAAAAAGCCACAGCCTGAACCATTGAGGTGGGAACCTTCATCAGCTCCACCGCAGATGGCCAGCTTTGGAGCAACTCTAACAGTCAGCCCACCCACTGAAGGCACGTCAAGTGAATCTTCTGACGACCGCGGTAGCCCAACAAATCAAAACGGTGGCACCTGCGACAACTCTACTCAGCCTGTTCAATCTGCATATCCATCTTTTATCAGTTGGTCACACTCTGTAAACGAGAACAGGCATAACTCCGACATGAAAGTAATGCCTCTCTAACAAGATTATGTCGCAAGCATCGCTTCATGTCTAGTTGTTTGTAGTAAGACGGTAGTACCAGCAGTCGAATCACTGTGATTCAGTAGCCACTAATTACTGTCAAAGCTTACAACTAGAGGGCTTCACATAAATGGCATTCCAGAAGCATATATCTAGGCGTATGTTCTGAGGACACTGCTGCCGTTCTGTAGTATTTTCTTTGTCTTCATCTATCAGTTCAATTTCTGTTGGTAACTAAAGACACCTTATTTTCTTCAATTTCGATGGTGCTATGTCTGAGATGAAATGTGTGTTCATGTATGTGTCCATACAAAGGATCAAGCGTGGCATTTGTTTTTGGAGAAAAGGCCACACTTACAAGAATCATTTATGCTTTTGCTGGAAGGATGCCTGTCTTGTCCTTCTTCCTTCGAGGTGGGCAGAAGGAACACAGCCTAAACCCCCCCGCTCTCCGAGATCAAGTCCGCCATGAACTGCACAGCAGCCTGCCAAAGTCCATGGCTGTTTGTGAGCCACTGGTAATTATTTCACCGCGGCAAACAGTGGATAAGATCGCTTCCACGACCAGATCCATCAATGGCGCCGTGCATGGCTGTTGGGTGCCGCTGTACTCTGACACACCACTTTCTTTCGGTATGCCTAAATCATTTCATCATCACAGCATTACTGCGCCGACTTTATCATTGTATTTACTGACACCCAAATCACTCTCTCACATCTCTTTCTCCAACTACGGATTGATGGACGCCGTGCTCCAGTAATCACCTGTGCTCGTCTTGAGCTGAATCTGAACCTTGGTGGGTCTCCCAGAAGACGACCAGATTCCGACAAGTAGCCCGCAGTAGAGGAAGACTCGGGAAGTGCGCAGCCACGACAGCTTCTTCCACAGCGAACACAGATGAGCAGCAAGGCGGCATGCGCCATGGTTGCTGCTCTCGGCGGCGACGCGGGATTGGCGAGCAGAAGGTTGGTACCCAAGCGAGGGCGGATCAAGTCCCGAATAGCCACCTGTGCGATCCATGCTATTGCCTCGGTGCTGCGGAGGGCTACCTACTGCAGTCGCTGCGTCCTCATCCGGCGTCGCTGCTCAGAGAAAACTTGCGGGCAGCGATGAGTACTCTTTTATCTTTAACCATCGAGTAGACATACCAATCTCGTAAGGTACTGCTTGGCATCCCCCATCAAAATGACTCGACAAAAGCATCAGCAAGATGCTCATTGATACTTCTCCATACTTCATAGATCGTATCAGTTTCAGGATGCCTTGTGTCTCCCACCACGAACTTGAACTTATCCATGCCCCTCGATTCAACGTAGCTCCAGCCTGCCTCTTTTCTTGATCCCTTCCTTCTCATCTCAGCTCTCACCTCTGCAGCTTCTTCCCATAGTCCAGCAGATGCATATACGTTCGACAGTGTCACTCTCCAGACACCACAATCCGGTTCCATCACAGATAGCTCCGCCGCTGCTCTTTCTGCAATCTCCACGCTCCCATGAAGCCTGCAAGCACCCAGTAAAGACCCCCAAATGGATGGACCAGGTTTGATGGGCATCGCTCTGATAAATTCCTCTGCTTCACCAAGCTTTCCGGATCTCCCCAAAAGATCCACCATTGCTGCGTAGTGCTCCATGGCCGGCTCGAAGCCGTAGTCTCTTTGCATTATCTTGAAGCACTCGTAGCCTTCCATTGTCAGCCCAGAGTGACCACACGCTGAAATGACATTGACAAAGGATACAGCATTCGGATTACGCCTTCCTCCGGACCTCAGCTCCTCGAAAACTCGTAAGGCCGAATCACCATCACCATGGATCCCGTAGGCTGCGATCAACGAGTTCCAAGAACCCACGTCTCTTGTGTCCTCCATCTCCTGGAATAACTGTTCCGCCAAACCAACCCTTCCCGACTTCCCATACATGTCGATCAGAGCATTGCAGACAAAGGAATCGGAATCAAAGCCTGCTTTGATCACAAAACCATGCAGTATCTGTCCTCGCTCCAGCGACGATATGGTGGAGCAGGCTTGTACGGAGCTGAGTACCGTGACGAAGTCCAGCTTTAGCTCACCTCCACTTGCGTCATGAACTTGACCGAGGTGCTGCAGGGCTTCCTCCACGCGGTCGTTCTTCGCAAAACATGAGATCATGGAGTTCCAAGAGACTATGTCTCTGTTCCCCATTCTTTTGAAGATCAAATGTGCTGAGTCGACGTACCGATGCTTTGCATACAGATCAAGGAGGGAGTTCTCGACTATGGTGCACGGAAAGAAGCCCATCTTGATCGAGCACCCATGAATCACCTTGCCATGCTCCAAAGATCCCGACAGGGCGCAACCATGGATGAGGGCCGCGATGAGATCGGGATCATGGCACTCCGGAAAATCAAATTGGAGGAAAGCCTCGATTGCCTCGTCCAAAAATCCATTTTTTGCGTACATCATCACGAGAGACTTCACGACGGGAACACAGTCATGCAGCTCCAACTTTACAAGCCAAGCATGAACACAAGCAAACAGGCTCGGTTCCCCCATTAGCGAGCAGGCCTGGGTGATGCTCAACATCGTCGCCGTGTTCGGCAGAATCCCATCTTCCAGCATTCGGGTGAACAGAATCAGTGCCTTGTCGAACATCCCATGGAGGACCGAGCCTGATATGATGGCACTCCAAGAAACCACATCCCTACAGCTCAACCTACTGACAAGCTTCTCAGCATCCACGATTGATCCTACCTTCCCATACATATCGATCAAGGAATTAGAGACGAACGCATCATGGGAAAACCCAGCGGCGACCAGGTGCCCATGCACCATCCTCCCCATCTTCTCATCCCTCAGCATCCCACATGCCCGTAAGACAGCAGAAACAGTGAACTCATTGGGAGGAGGTGCTGTTCCCTCCGTTAACATGTTCAAGAAGACAAGGATGGCAGCGGCAGCCGCTCCGGTATGGCAGTGTCCGGAGATCACGGCTGTCCAGGATACGACGTCTCTTAGAGGCATTCGGTCGAAAAGCTTTAACGCGCTGTCCATGCGGCCACATTTGGAGTATGCGTCGAGGAGGGAGTTGGCGACGAAGAGGGTGGAGTGGAAGCCGGATTTGAGGAGGCCAGAGTGTAGAGAGGCGGTGAAGCCGAGGTTCTGTTGGGCGGCGGAGAAGCTGAGGTAGCGGACGGAGGCAGCCGAGTCGAAGAAGAGGTTCTTCGAGTGTGAGAGAGGAGAAGGCGAGAGGAATGGAGAGATAGAAAGTGACGAGTACATTGGATTTTTGTGGGGAAGCCGATGTCTGCTTTCTGGGGATGCAAGCCGGCAACAAGGTGCTTGTATTAAGTCCACCAATAGATTGGTGGAAGTATAAGCAGTTGGGCCGGCCCGTGCGCTTATTTCTTTCGTGGTTTGTCCCAAAAGAAACGACAGAACTGATTGATTACATACATAGAAGAGATGACACGTATTCCACAGAATCAAAAGCAACATTTACTTGAAGTAAATCAACCAATTAAAAACAATCTGTGCAACATATTCGATCACAAAATATTTCTTCAGCTAGTTTAATCAATAGATAGGCATAGCCAAAAACATGAAGTAGAGCAAAGAAGCCACTCAATTGTAATCACTAATCAAACTTGTAGTGCTCGAAAACATCATGCTCCAATGTTCAAAAAGCTATATGCACATACGATACATATATGCTGGTTTTACTATGCAGGATGTTGGGAAGAATCATACTATAATTCGTCAATCGGCCCCATCAGTGTAGGCACATCTGGGCTGCTTGCAACTGTGTTCCGGTGTTAGATGATCCGAAGCAGCTCTCTTAGGTCGGAACTGCATGTGCGCGGCATGAGAAGGAAGAACAGAGGACAGCAGCAAGAAATACTAGAAGAGAAAAAGCTTGCATACCTTCTCTTCTGACTTCTGATAGAAATGCCTCAGAAGGATATTTCTGGCTTCTGATGATATTACTAGGACAACAAGTGAGTACATATCAGAAAAACAATATTATCACAAGTTAATATTATGCCTCAATTAGCTGCCACAGTAATTAAAAAAAAACCATTTGGGTATACATGTCAAATATTACTTCATGAAAGGCTAACTATGTGATACAAGAACTTCACAAGTCTAGTCACCACGAAAGACAACTGGATGTCAAGAAGATAATCTATAAGATCCGAGCATCATGAATTCAATACAACTTGTATCAGAAATGTATATGACCAATACATATTCTATAAAACTAATAAATAATTTGAATCTGAAACGCCAGTTTCTACTAATCATTTCTTTCAGTAGCTTGCTTAGTGTAACATTAGTTCACCCTCATATGCCCTAACCCCCAAAAGATAAAGAGACAGAATAATTTCAAACCCACAACCATATCACTTTTGCTCTCTTTTCCCATCTGTGTCCCATCTCTTGACCACAGCTTTCCCTGAAGATGTACCCTTTTGTTTTTCCAGCTGGCATTCCGTTAGACGTATCATTGAGAGCTTGTCATAAGGATCACACCTTAAAGGAAAAAAAAAACCTAAATTTCCTCGTAGATTGAATAGCCACTTGCTCTTCTTTGACTCCTTACCCATTTTCTATTTAATAACTCAGAGAAGGTTTCTTTAGGTTTGTCTAGTCCATGATTCTTCTCTTTAACATTTTGGAGCATAATGAATGTTGATTGGTTCTTTCTTTTTCAATACAAGATCGCCTTAGTTATGTGTTTGTTGGTTATTAGGTCCAAGGTTGATACTCCATTTATTTAGCATACAGAACTAACATAGGACCTCTCATGGCGAATTTTTTAGAGCTAATATAGTAACATCTTGATACTTGAATTACAAATTAAAATGGTGAAATTATAATATGACATCCAATGAGAATTGGTGTAAATGCAACCTTAAATTCACAAATTCATCTTAGTAAGAGTTCTAGATATAGACATGTTAAGGGATCACTATAACTTATTACATGCAACATGCAGATTAGATACCCTAAAAGCAAAGAAACTCAATATAATCTTGTTTCATATTCTAAGGTGAAAGAAGCAGAATATTAAAAAAAATGGTAGAACTGTCTGTGGTAGAGAAGTGAGAGAACAGTCATAAGGATGAAGAGTATCCTCAGCACATATTAGTGTCATGTGTGATCTGTTAGCAGTTAAACATTTCATAATGAAATGTCCAAGAAAGAATTTTTTCTTTAGGAAGATTTGTTTTGGGTGCACAGACTGACCTACTATGTTTAAAAAGGCTTATAAGCATGTACACTTCGACATTAATATGAAACTCTTCCAATGGATTATTTTGATAATTTAATTGAAAATGGCAAGCAAAGAACTGTAATGATATTTCAAAAAGCAAAACTCTTCAACTCTCAATTTGTAGTGATTAAGCACTCAAATAAAGAAAGATGACATTCTTAGCCATGTATCATGATGAATAACCATATTCTTTTACTCTCTTAAAACATAATAGTCATGGCATTCTTCATGTTTTAGTTACTTGTGGACATAAAACACTAAGTGATTGAGAGTTCTGCCAAATATCTTCGACCCAGCATCCAGATAGAAAATTACAACAGAAAGTATACGAAGTATCAACACAGGTAACAACAGCCTCAAAGAAATTAGCTCTGAGCAACCAAAAAAAAGATATTTATAGTTCCAGCAAGCGGCCATATATAATTTGTTCTTGGAGACCAAGTGCAGCATTGTTACCTTGATCTGGTGGTGGGAGAGACTTGTTATGAGTGGGACGATATGTGACAGGCGTAAGTTTCTGAAATTAAACATCAAAGGAAAAAATCAGAAGAATGGTAAATCTATGTATCAAATATATGAAAACTTAAGATCATGTAATGGATGTGCAAAGATCACATTCTAAAAGCCCCTTTAGTTGAGCAGAAAAAGAAATCAATTAATAAGTTCTCCTCATTAAATCACTCCAACAGTAACCAGCCGGTACAGTCCGCACCCAAAACAAGGAAAGAACACGAAGGGGGAACACAAGCAGTGGCAAACAAGAAATGTGTGCTCAGAGCATGATTGATTCCGACGATTTGCGACTCAAACAAGACAGATTATAAGATGCTTACAATCGCCAACCTACAGCGATCATGAAATCATTGATTGAATATCAACGAGATGGCAAAGGAAGATGGATCGGAGAAGCATACAGAAGATTGGGCAGATGAATCGGCCGGGCGTAGTTGGCTGAAGTTGTGGGGGTCGTAAGAGGGCCAGTCGTCGAGTAGAGAGCCCATCTCTTCTCTTCTCCTCTCTTTCTTTCCTGTTACTCACCGCCACACCCACAAAACCTCTCTCTCTCTCTCTCTCTCTTTCACGTACATATTTATATAAACCCAACAAAACCCTCCACTTTCTCCATATATTCTTAAATAACATATTTAATTCCCATAAATATTAACACGGCAAAAATTAGTTGGGTAGTAGAATCGTGATCGACATGGAATTGGAAAATCCAATAGAATTCGAATTGACGTGTTCGGCTTATGCACTGATCGTTAGTGAACAAATGTGTCATAGTTGGTGAGTCAGCACGGGTGCACGGATTGATGTCGGAAGTCTTCTGTCGACTGAGCTAAATGTCGAGGTCGACCGAGCCCTCGCGATGGGGTGCTGATCAGCGTTCCTTGGTGTGCCGATCCAGGCGTCGTGTATGCTGAGCTACGTCTCTCCTTCTCTGGGGTGGTTGGTAGCTCATCTTCGTGAGGTGATCACGCTCTCGGGAAGGGGTGCTGGTTGGCGTTGATCGGGATCGAGGCTGATTGGTGACTTCTTGGTGTCGGGCGGATCGCACTTCCATGCCGAGTCCCTCACCGTCGATGAGTGGTCGCCCTTTTGTAAAAATAGCCTCCGCTGGGTGGTACCCGATTGTGGCCCCTATGACGAGCAAGTTAGTAACGGGAGGGATTGCTTTTTTCCTTCTTTTTTCTTGCCCTATCCCGAGCCGGAGGCCAGCCAAGGGTTTTATACTGTGGCACGAGGGCTGATGGTGCATCGATTCGGCATCGCTACTGCTGACCCTCGAGAGATGGGATGATCTTTCTGACTGGTCGTCGTTTTGGTACCCGCAGAGCGACGTTAGACAGTATTGCCCCGAGCTCCTGGGATAAGACGTGTTGGCATTTTTTCTTGGTACGAGCTCCTGGGATGGGACGGGTGGCGTAGGGCTCCGATTTGGCATGTGGTGACAGCGGTGACGTGTCCAAGCGGTCAAAATATATCATATCACTAATAATAATTTTTAAATAATAATAATAAAATATATAAGCTACATACAATTTTCTCGGTACTTCATGTAAATCTATGCAAGGAAGCTTAGTTTGTGACTTTGATGGATAATTAACAACCTCTTGAGCTTAGGTTAAACAAATAGATTGCCACATGATATTTCTTTTTGAGGTTTTGTTGATTTTATTTTTTATTAGATAAATTTCTCAAAGAATTCCTTGTTTTTATTTGGAGATTACTATTTACATTTTTTTTGTTATTTACAACCCTAAATTTGAATATTTATTTAATTTATAACTTAATTTCAATAATTTTTTTTACTATTTATCTATGTCCTTTTTTTATCCTCGTTTATCTCTTTTTCTTCTAGTCATCTGTTTTCTCTTAATCATTAGAGGTGATGTAAAATGACATATGCTAAAAATAGATGAATTAAAGATCGAAGAGGAGATGAGAATTTTTTTAAAATTTATTATAATAAATTAATATTTTCAAGATTATATCCATTATATAATAGCTTAGAAGACATAACCTTTGTAAACTACGTGATAGGGTGGTCTGTGGGGAGAGTTGGTGAGTACAAAAGCATGGGCTGTGGGGAGAGTTGGTGAGTACAAAAGCATGGGCTGTGGGGGAAGAAAAAGAGAAAAAGAGGATGATAAAAATAGAATTAAAGGGGTTATATATAATAAAATATTATGTATTAAATTTAAAGGGATTATGAATAGTAAAGAGTCAGGAGGGTCTCTACATAGTAAACTCCTTTTTATTTTTTTCAATTAACATACTTTTTTTCATTTATTCTCGTAAAATATTTTTTTATTTTCTAAAAAAATTATCTTTTGCCGTGGTACTCTGATCACCTGTCCCTTGTCACTCTCTCCTCTCGTCATCCTCCACCCCATCATCGATACGGTGGTCGTCTTTGACAACAAGATGAGTGATATAATGCCCATGTGTGATTCCTTAAACTTAAAAAATTTATCATCCATATAGCATCAAAGACATTCTAGAATTTCAGCATTTAGATTAAGGGGCTGCATGATTGTGCACCATCGTTGATAAATGGGTTAATGCCAAAAGTATTCCGATACTTTAAGTGCCACGATTGCGTATGTTAATCTAATGGGTAATATGTTACGAATATATCACACTTGGAGACCAGAGTTGCCTTTGTGACCTCTTGCAATGAACAACGATGATGATGAAGAGCTTCTTGGTAGCGTAGTGAATAATATTATGAAGATATTGTAATAGAATGTGAAGATACAATGCTCAAGTTATAGAAAGAAGGGGAGAGAAGACAAGAGCAAATAAAGAAAAAAGGAGAGGCTATAGGCATAAGGCCTTGCAATGGTTGATCGTAATGATGAAAATGAGACGTCAAAGGAAGAGGAGAGGAGAGACGAGGACGGTGGAGAAAGAGGGGCGAAGGCGACAACGATGATATTTCATGCCTGAGGCTAAGGATAATTTTATCTTTAAAAATAAAAATATTATATAATAATAAATAAAAATAAAGCGCTAATCAAGAAAAAAAAAATGAAAATAAGGCATTTTTTCTTTAAAAAAATTTCCCTGAAATATTGAGGTATAGAATTTAGAGAAACAAATGTGTGTACGTGGGCGAGTGGGTAGCAGAACTCCGCGAGGACGTAATGGGCCTTAAGCGAGCCTGCCTTTTCGAAACCTCCCACGACGCATTCTCTCTGTTCGACTCGAGTCCTCTGTTTCTTTCCTTTAAACGTATTGAATAAACACAAACACTGTACCCAATTCTTATCCAAACTCTTTCGATCTCATTAGAATACTGGATTTTTCCAGATTCTCATTCCAAGTCCAATTAACCTGTTCTTCGAATCCAATTCAAACGAAACTAATCGCCATGAATACCAGCCAAAAAAGGTCCGATTCCTGCCATCGCCGTGCTCGCTTCATGTCCAGGAATCGCTCCCCTCCGAAATGGACACCAACATCAAGGCTGTCCGTCACAGATGCAATCTCCACTGCAGACACCCTCGTCCTGCTCACCTGCACTACAAAACAATACCTCCGATTCGAAGCAACAACCATGTCGTTTCGTTCGATCTTAAAGCCATTAATCAATGGGGAGCAGAAGTGGCAGAAACAGTCCTCTTCGCTGCGTAAGCCCCGCTGCCGTCTGCTACTCACCAGCTGGCTCAGTGCCACAAGAATAATGCTCTGCTTTGCACATTTATGCCCTTATTTAATTCTCATCACACCACTAACTCGGGTGGACGGTGCGACTTTTATGGCCAATAGTTGGAATTCTCCGTCTCTCTCTCTCTCTCCCGCCCGCGCGCACTTGCCAAGTCGAGGCATATGGCCGACGTGGTGCAATGCAAGTAGAGCAAGTGCGATTCATTTCCTGACGACGACTCCATCGTCCGCTTTCGCTCCCCGAGGAAGGATATATTGCCAAGAAACTGACTTCTCACTTTCATCACTTACGTAAAGTTAACCATATCGTGCTGATTTGGTCGGCGCCCACTTCGTGATTCAACCACTCCCGATGGCAATGCGTATAGAATAAGACGCATACGATATCGAGCATGTATGCCGTGGTTTTGCGTTGTCGATGTATGGGAATATATGCATGCATGCCCACTTACGCACACCCAATGCGGACAGCAAATGCAAGTGGAGGGAGGGGGCGACCACTCGTCTTCTACCTAATTGTGACACATTGGAAAAGGGAAACCCCACACACGCTGTTGTTTCATCACATCTCGACCCATACCAACCATGATACGACGTCATGGTTCGATGACAGCGACCGTGGATGTGGAGGAGGCAATTTGATTGGGGCTTAACCTTTTGGTTTAATTGACTCGAGTTCGATTCGATTGGATCAAGGAAATGGTTGGTTGATTTGAGTTTGACTCGCTCGCAGGTCAAAATTCGAGGATGACGCACGCCGTCATAAACTGTATTGTTGCGAGATACGTGTGTGTGTGTATGTATGTAATTGATTCGAGAAACGGTTTCGCCGGTCGCTCTCTCGTCCTTTCAAGAAAGGGAAACCCGGGCGCGGATTAATTGACTGACCGCGAGGTGGAGAGCGAGGGAGGAAAGCGCGACGTGAGTACTAATAGTGAGTGTAGTGCAGGGGCGGGGTAGAGTGGGAGGAGGAGGCAGAGGCCAGGATGGCGTCGGCAGGGAGCGACCAGCCGTGCTGCTCTGCGATGTTCTGGGTGTACCTTATGATCTGTGTCGGTCTCGTCATGTTCGCCGGCATCATGTCCGGTCTCACGCTCGGCCTGATGTCTCTCAGCCTCGTCGACCTCGAAGTCCTCGTCAAGGCTGGCAAACCCAAGGACCAGCTCAACGCCGGTCTGTTCCCGTCCCCCCGTTCCCTCTCTCTTTGTCTTTTCCCTTCTCCCCCTTTCTTGATCTCTGTTACGCCATGTGCTTCTTCTTTTTTCTTCCGCAGCCAAGATTCTTCCTGTTGTAAAGAATCAGCACCTCCTGCTTTGCACCCTGCTCATCGGCAACTCCCTCGCCATGGAGGTCTCTGCCGCTCCTCTCCTCTCTCTGTGTCCCCCGCGCATGTGTATTGAAAGTTGGTTTCTTGGTGTCGCTGATTTCTTCTCATGCCATCTCTATTTAGGCGCTGCCGATATTTCTTGATGCGCTCGTTCCGGCGTGGGGGGCCATCCTGATATCCGTAACCCTTATTCTGACCTTCGGCGAGGTAATTGCTTAGCGATCCCCAGTAAATCGGATTCCTGTAGCAAGAAATAAATTTAATAATAGATTACTGGTGAGATGCAAGTTGGGTTTGGTTTTTTGCATGTTGGTTTTCTCTTAGATAATACCACAAGCGGTATGTTCGCGATATGGGCTGAGCGTGGGAGCTAAAACCGCGGGACTGGTTCGCGTGCTCCTTTTGATTTTCTTTCCGGTGGCTTACCCCATTAGCAAGGCAATCATTTCTTGCTTTTTCGCTTGTTTATGCTGATTAATTCTTTTTTTTAACCCCTGTTAAAGGGAAAAAAAAAAAGGAGCGGCTGTCTTCCCTTTTTTTCTTACCATATCAAAAGATTAATATAATTTGTGTAGTTGCTGGACTGGGTACTGGGCAAGGGGCATTTTGCACTTATGAGAAGAGCTGAATTGAAGACACTGGTGGATATGCATGGAAATGAGGTTGATAATTTGTTGTGCATTATCATCGCTTATGAAAGGGCTTTGAGTAAAATAATAAGATCTGAATTTTCTGACTATGAAGCTTTTAGCTTCCTGTAAACTAGAGTTTGTAAATACTACCAGATGGATGTATCAAAATTAATTGTTGTAGATGCTGAACTAACGATTCCATAAAGCAACTTGTGCAAAGAAATGATAGTCTTTTCTTGGTTTTCAGGCAGGCAAGGGCGGGGAATTGACTCATGATGAAACTACTATTATCACTGGAGCTTTGGACCTGACACAGAAGACTGCAAAAGATGCAATGACAACAATATTAGAGACCTTTTCGCTTGATATAAACTCTAAACTTGACATGTATGTAGTTCTACTGATTAACAAGCTATTGATGCTCCGTAATATTGTTAATCTTTATCTCTTGTCAGGCACACTCTGGGTTTGATCATGTCCAAAGGACATAGTCGTGTACCAATCTACTCTGGCAGCCCAACAAACATTATTGGCCTTATTTTGGTTAGTCAAACAATCTTGATATTCTTTCAATGCTTGGGGTTTAAAAATATTCATGATCACTCTTGAAATTTAATGTAAAATGACTGATCATTCGACAGCAGTCATTCATGAAAAGAAATTGTACTAACCAGTACTTCTCATGTGCTTATGTACCCAAAAAAGCATAAATGTAAATAAGAAGATTATTAATTGTAGTCCAACAGAAAACATTTTATCGTCTTGGTGCTTTTGAATAAAACGGATCTCCTTGGGAGCACAACTTCCAAATGAAAACAATTGCTGTTAAAAGACATTCCTCTATAGGAAACTAAAATTTGAAGACTATTGTCTCTTTGCTAATCCTGACTTAACAATGGCCAGTTGCTTACCATAAATAACTAGTTGGTTCCTCGGATATTGATCATGCTTATATTTTATACAGAATGTAAAAATTCAATTTTCATATACATATATGTTGGAGTCACAGTGGACGGTTGACTTTTGCATTCAGCAAGGAGAAAAATGAGATGATGTCTATGAAAGTAATGGAAATGATCTGATATTTTCTTCTGGGTAGTACTGCAATTTCAATAGCTATTGTCAGAATCAGTAATGTGTTCTTTTGTTCCTACATTAACCTGCTCAAGATTATTTTGTTTACAACAACTTGATTCTTCTCAGGTTAAGAATTTGATAACTTGCCGCCCTGAAGATGAAGTTCCTATTAGAAATGTTACTATAAGAAAAATTCCTAGGTATGCCTTGATCTATGTTTCAAAGATGTATATCATGGAGATATTAGTGTATCTAGATGTGGCATGTGGCTCAAGTTTTCTGAACTTTACAAAATGATGAAGCTTGGACACATTAATTGGCTTCATTCCATCTGCTCATGTTTTACATCTATACAAGTCAAACAACAATCATAGTCATTGATAACATGTAAAAGGTAATTATAAAAATAAGCATGCAAGCACGGTAAGTGTTTCTTCACTTAAGCATGTGTAGATAA